CCTTTGGTGAGGGACCTTGTCAAAAGCTTTCTGGAAATCTAAGTACACTATGTAACTGGATCCCCCTTGTTCATATGTTTGTTGACCCCTTCAAAGAACTCTAATAGATTAGTAAGGCACGATTTCCCTTTAGAGAAACCAGGTTGACTTTTGCCCAACAATTTATGTTCTTCTATGTGTCTGACAATATTATTCTTTACTATTGTTTCGATTAATTTGCCCGGTACCGACATTAGACTTACCGGTCTGTAATTGCCAGGATCACCTCTAGAGCCCTTTTTAAATATTGGCGTTACATTAGCTATCTTCCAGTCGTTGGGTCCAGAAGCCGATTTAAAGGACAAGTTACAAACCCTAGTTAATAGTTCCGCAATTTCACATTTGAGTTCTTTTAGAACTCTTGGGTGAATGCCATCTGGTCCCGGTGACTTGTTAATGTTACGTTTATCAATTAATTCCAAAACCTCCTCTCGTGACATTTCAATCTGTGACAGTTCTTCAGATTTGTCACCTACAAAAGCTGGCTCTGGTTTGGGAATCTCCCTAACATCCTCAGCCGTGGAGACTGAAGCAAAGAATTCATTTAGTTTCTCTGCAATGACTTTATCCTCTTTAAGCGCTCCTTTTCTATCTCTATCATCGAGGGGCCCCACTGGTTGTTTAGCAGGCTTCCTGCTTCTGATGTTCTTAAAGTATGAAAGTCTTCATGCAAATTGGTGGACTTTCTCCATACAGCTATGCTAGGGCTTGTGGCATTCACTATTAATGAAGCCTTGATTCACCCTGCTATGGTCACTATTACCTTAAAAAAGACAGACAAGTTATCAGGTGCCATCTAATGGAGAAGAATATTTCTAAATACAACCATTATCAGGCTCGTTGGTGGTGGTTGCTGCTAATGAAAAGACCAGAAAACAGCAAAGAATGAGCCAAAAGAGAGAGAACCAAAACATCTTGATTTATTTTGACATAAAGCTATTCCTCAGAGAGCCTTCTGTTCAGAATTTCAAATCACCAGGTGTTATTGGCACATTAAGATTTCCAGAATTATAAAAACTTCCCTGACTGTTTAGAAGAATTGCCACAAGAAAAAAGAAGAGTTTAGAGCTATAATTTCAGAGGGTCAGTTAATTACAAGAATGTCTCTCCAAGGTATTTCTGGTTGATGTTGACACCTCATTGCATTCTACCACCACTTTGGTGGTGAGGAGGAACATCTTGGCTTCAAAGATGAGGTTTTCGTCTTGAGGTTCAGGTGACCATGGGAGATCTTCCTTTTGAGGGTCTGGATCTTTTCAGTTCAAAGAATGATGATGACCTTCATTCCTTGCAGGCGGCCATCCTTTACTCTTTTGGGTACGCCCATTTGCCCCAAAGAAAAAACAAAGAACACCTTGACAGAGACCTTCATCTGGCACTTTTTCCATCAAAGAGCTTCAGAGCCCCTAATAAGGGACAGTGTCATCAGAGAAAGAAACCTTCTACCTCAGCTATGTTCTCATCTCAGTCTGTATATCTGCACCCAAGCAACCATTTTGATGGGTTGGTCGGGAGTTGCAATTCAGTCAGTTCTCAGGATCTAGACTCTTCCTGTCCCCTATTTGGGAATTCTCTCTACTTCTTTGAGGATGCATGGAGCATAGCTAAAACAGATCACTGGGTCCTAGAAATAGTCTCAGTCAGCTACTCCATCCAGTTCCATACTGCTCCTACCACTACCTTCCTCCTAATCTTTCTTAAGGGGCTCATCTCAGAAGTGGCTGTTGCATCATTAGATGCTTTCAGTTCTGTCCCTTGGAGCATTAGAAGATGTTCTGCCTCAGTACCATGGGAAAAGTTTTATTCCATCTAGTTCCTGATACCAAAGTAGGGGAAATAATATCCTATTCTGGATTTGAGGATCCTCAACACCTTCATTTGCTGCTTCAAATTCAGAATGGTAACCCTAGCATCCATAATTCCGACACTTGCGAGATGCTTACTTCTATATCACCATACGTCTGGTGCACAGGAATATATAAGATTCCAGGTAAGACAAAATTATTATTAATACACGGTCGTCTCCTTTCGCCTCTCTGCAGTGCTGAGGATATTTACCAAGGTCCTAATAGATGCAATAATAGACTCTCTATGACAGCCAGAGCCAATCTTATTCGACAGATTCAACACCAGGGCCAATCTTATTACTCCGATATAGTTTAATCCCCACACTACAGTAGGGACTTGGAAGCATGGCCTCCTGTATGTTCTTCACACAGCATGCCAGACTGCATCTACATTGCATGCAGGGTTGGCTGAGTTCAGTATATGTTCTGAACAGGCATCATTTGGTCATGTCGGTCTCTTCTAGACATCCTGTTGTCACTGAAAAAGTACAAGGACTCCAAAGAGGTGCAAGGGAGTACTCTTCTCATTATCCCTTCCAACCAAGATCACAGTGATGGATGCGTCTCTTCTGGGATGGAGAGTGCATGTGAATGATCACCAGGCACAAGGTGTCTGGACTCATGAAGAGATTTGACTGGCCATAAATGAGTTAAGAGCTCAGAGCAATTTACAATGCCTGTGCTGTGTTCCTACTATTCATTAAGGGCAGGTCTATTCACATTATGACATACAACATGACAGCCATGTTACAAGCAAGCAGGGAGGAGCACGATCAATCCCTATATGTCAGGAAAAAGTTTGACTATGAACCTGGTGTATCCATCACCAGATATCTCTCAGGGTGACTCATCTCCTGAGTCTACAAAATACTCTAGAAGACTTGTTTTTGGTCAGAAAATCAAGGACTCTGTGATTTATATCACCATCTAGGAATGGGGTCACCCAGCAATAGGTCTGTTTGTGGTGCATAAGAACAGGAAAAGTCTTATTTTCTGCTCCAAGGAAGTCCAGGGTCCCTTAAGGTGAATTTCTCATTCCTTAGTTTGTAAATCTCATGTATCTTTTTCTTCCAAACCATCCCCCTGCCCTGCCCCAATCCCCAAAGTACTTGGGGAGATCAGATCAGACAGGACGTTGCCAGATTCATCATGATTGCTCCCAGCTGACAAAGATATTTTTGATACCCGGAGTTAGTGCAGTTGTCTGTTTATCCTCCAGAGATTCTTTCCCTTCTGCCAGACCTGATAGCTCAAAACCAGGGAAATGTCCTTCACGCTAACCCAGTCTCCCTTCATATTTTGGCCTGGCTGCTGGCTGAATATCAGGCATAGAGAGATCATGTTCCTTGGATGTACAGAACATTTTATTCCATAGTAGAAAGGACTCCATCAGACAGACCTACACTGCTAAATGGAAAAGATTTTCAATCTGATGTGAGCAAAGGCAGCTGCACCCTATTGTCATTCAGATCCCTGTCATTATTAGACTACTTACTCTTGCTAACAGACTCTGGTTTGGCCATTAGCTTTGTTATGCTGCATTTAGCAGTAATTTCTGCACATCACTCACCTGTCAAAAACTTCACAGTGTTTTCCCATCCTATTATGACAAAATTCTTACAAGGTCTCAGTAGGGTTTTTCCACCAGAAAGAAATCTTCTTCCCAACTTGGGATTTTACCAGGGATTAAAGTGGCCCCAATTTGAACACATGACATCCTGTTCTCTATTGCATTTATCTATGAAGACCTCTTTTTTGGTTTCAATTACATCACCCAGATGGATCAGGGAGATACAGCCCTTATGGTGGATCCACCTCGTACTATATTTCACCCAGATAAAGTGTCGTTTAAAACCCATCCCAAATTCCTGCCTAAGTAGTTACAGACTTGAATATAAATCAAATAATCCACTTTCTGTCATTTTTTCCTAAGTCATATCCTAGTAAGGGGAAAGATCGGCTGCATATTCTAGATGTTCAAAGAGCCCTAGCCTTCTGTTTACAAAGGATGAAATCTTTCAGGGCTTCCCCGTGATTATTTGTGGCATCTGCTGAAAGAACAAAGGGTCAGCCAGTATCAGCAAAGGGTCAGCCAGGATGGGTTTAGGGTTGCATTAAGGCTTGTTATGACATAACTTGTCTAGATCCTATAGCTTAGACTAGGTTGCATTCTACTAGAGTTCACTTCCTTGCACAGTGTATGCATTTCAGACAGCTGCAAGGCAGCCAGTTGGAGTCTGATTCATACTTTTACAAAACACTCTTCCACTGGAAAGGCATCGAGGTACGATGCTTTTTTTGCAGACCTGTATTGCAACCTCTCTTTAACTATACTATGAGAACCCACCTCCTTAGATCAGGTCACTGCTTGTGAGTCACCAAGAGTGGGATGGACATAAATATATGGACAAGCTCTCAAAGAAGAAAAAAAAGTTGCTTACCCTACAATAACTGAAGTTCTTTGAGATGTGTTATCCATATATGTATTTTCCACAGTTCTCCCTTCTTCCCTAGTACTAGAGAGTCCTATAATATCTGGATTTTGTGGTAGCGAAGGAACTAAGTGGTGCTTGGGCCACTCCACCCCTTATGCTGTCAATACAGGAGCACAAGGACGCTTGGCGCATGACAGCTCCAATGGATGTGCTGACCAAAAGACTCCCAAATCAAGTGCCTGAGGCACATATGCACCAAGAGTCAAATATATGTAGAGAGAACACATTTTGAACAACTCCAGTTACTGTAGGATAAGAAACATTTCTGTTTTCTGTGCCTCTTTCCCTCCCTAGTCCTTTTCTGGCCTATTTAGATTGAAAGCTCTTTTGGGCAAGAACTGTTTTTACTGTGTGTTTGTCCAGTAGGGTCTCAATCTTGTCTGGAATTGTTAGGTTTTATTGTAATACAAATAAATAATTTCTGTTATGTTATAAATTATTTTCATAAGTGTGATGGTCAGTCTAATACAGGCCCATGATTATATTTGATGAAAAGCAGAAACAAAAATAAATTGGATTAAAATATTTAAATTATAGTATTTGGCATTTATTAGATTGCCACGTGTAATGTGAATCAAAGTTTGAAATATAATGTAGAATTAATGTTTTGTTTCCATAGCAATCCTTCCCAAAGAAACTCCCAATGTCTCAATCGGTGCCTCAAATTTATATCCAGGTTAAGGAGTTTATCTATGCAAGCCTTAAATTTTCAGAGTCACTTCACCGCAGGTAAGCATTGATAAAGTGGTGTATATATATATATTATCTTGGCATGTGCATGTTTTTGTTTCATAATTGGAAGTTAATGAGCTATACATATAATGTGATCAAATGTAGCATGTGCATATCATATGTGTATGATAGTTTTGCACAGAAAACTGTCTACAATTTTAGTATCATGTTAGACAATATTTACTGGTTTGAATTGTATGTAGGTTTTCTTCTTTTAAAAAATCATGCAGTAGTTGAAAAAAGTAACCCGGAACTAGATAGTTCAGCAAAAGCTCTTTGTTTTGCTAATGCAGATTGGTTTTGCTGGTACACCTACTTCGATAGAACGCTGTCCTTGGGAGCCAAAAAATCTTACCGTCTTATAGGTGAAACCGCGTTATATTGAACTTGCTTTGATCTGCCGGAGTGTGCAGCCCTCCCCCCCCGGAACACTGCTTTACTGCGTTATATCCGAATTTGTGTTCTATTGGGTCGCGTTATATCGGGGTAGAGGTGTATCTACAATATAGCTGTAGAAATTTTACTCTGAGAGGGTCAGTGAAAATAGAGAAAACGTAAATAGAGTGCAAGAAGAAAAGGGAAAATGACATACAGATGAATATTTATCATTTGTAAAAGTTTTGTTCTAGTTAATTCATGGAAGTCCTATGGCCTGTGTTATACAGGAGGTCAGACTAGATGAACACAATGGTCCTTCTGGTTTTATAATCAATGAATCTCTGAGTTAAATGCCAGTCACCTGCATCAATGGATGGGGGAACTTGATGGGGCCAGCAGTGAAAGGGAGACAGCCAATCGCCTGTTTAGAGGGTCAGGAACAATTTTTTTTCTTCCATGAGCAGAGGACCAGGGTGTTTTTTGCCTTCCTTGCAGCACCTTCAAGCTACAGTAAGTTGAGCAGGAACACACTTAGTGCCTAACTGAGGTACTGGGGTGGAGTTGTTTGTTTGTCACAACTTGCGGCCTGTTTCCAGGGCAGTTAAGAGAATAAAATGAATGTTCCCAGAGGTAACAGACCTAGGATTTTGGTGCTGGGCCTTGAGCTCATGTGATAGGGTGAAACCTTGTGGCCTTTGCGGACCGAGGTCCCCTCCCAGCTGCATCCTCTGTCCCCTTCATGCGGGAGAGGGTGTGCTAGGACTCAGACAGAGCTGACTCCTGTGTGGGGTAGGCTGAGGAAAGTCTGCCCAGCATTATAGGTTATATGGTAAGGACTGAAGCCCTGTAACCCTGGCACCAGTTACAGGTTATACAGGGCCAGTGCAAGGATATTTTGCACCCTAGGCGAAACTTCTACCTTGCGCCCCCCTCCTCCCTCCCCTCCCCCCGGAGCATCGCTTATTATAAACTTTCAAAAATGAATACTGCATGATGTGGCATTGTTCATTAGAATTAATACACATTGAAAATTTATTAATTTCATTATTTAGTCTACATATTTAATGAAAATAAATGGCCTTGGGTCTCCTGCACGTGGCTAGAGTCCCTTCTGCGCTCCCCCCCCCCCCCCACTCGGATCTGGAAAGGGCTGTTTTGGGGATCAGAGCACAGATCTCGGGGGCTCGGGGAGGAGGCAGCGCCGGGCTGGCAGGGGGGCACGGGCTCCTACCAGCTGCAGCCCAGGAAACAGCAGAAAGCAGGTAACGGCTGGGAGCTCCCAGATTCACCCCCCGGTTCCTCCCGCGCCCCTGGCCGCCCTGCTGGAGCTGCGAGCAGAACCCACTCCCTGCACAGCATCATCCAAACCCCTCAAGGCAAACCCTGCCCTGGCCCGGCCGCGGACCGCCCCTGTGCAGGGAGTGTGAAAAAAATTTTTGGGGCAGGGGGCGCAGAGCTGGCTGCAGGCAGGGCAGGGGGTGCGTCAGGGGCTGGCTGCGGGCAGGGGGTGTGGGTACTCACAGGGAGCGTGTCTTGGAGCAGCCCGAGCAGCAGGACACAGCCCAGGCCCAGCAGAGCAACCGGGGACCCACCAGGCAGCAGTGGGAGCCTCAGGGCCGGAGGTCGGGGGAGCAGCAGCAGTAATAGGGCCAGCGGCGGCCCACATGGCTCCCGAAGCACAGCACCGCTGGCGGCCGGAGGAGGAATTACACTTCCCGGCTGGAGTCCATCAAAGTCGCAGCGCCCCCTCCTTGCAGGGAAGCGGGTTAACAAGCGGTTCTAAAATCGCTTCAAAATTTAACAACTGGTTCACGCAAACCGGCTCCAGCTCACCACTGGCTAGATGCACCTTTGGTCTGACCCAGTAGGGTTGTTCTTATGTTCTTAACTCTGGCTTTGGAACCAATTAAACGTCTGGTCTAGGAGAATATGAATGATGGGTGGGTAGTGCCCCTCCCCTGTGTTAAAGTTTAATAAAAGTTGCATTCTGCCACTTAATTTCATGCATGTGTCTATCCTCATTTTGTCACTGTGTCCACATTAACATGATGCATACCTCAAAACCATAGCATACTCATATACTTATTTATCTACTTTCTTCTTCAATCTTGCCAGATATTTATTTTCCCCAGTCATTCTGCCTTTGTCTTAGTTTACTTAGACTGTGGGTGCTTTGGGGCAAGAAACATACCTTTACTTCCTATACAAAGCACTGTGCACACTAATGGTGCAATACGCAAGTATTAAAATAATAATGTGGTATCCCATCCCTACATTGGACCAGAATTCTTGAATGTGTGTCAAACTGTTCTTACTTTGAAGATTCTCTTTGAAGTCACTTAGAGAGAGAGAGTTTCTGATAAAACGAAACTAAATATAAACTAAAGAGAAAGCTCTACAAAATGACTTTCTTCAGTGGAAAATATTTCAACACTTCCATTCTCCCCCCTGCTTACCCCCCCCCCCAAAAAAAGCCCAGCTTGGTTTTAATTACATAAAATAACATTTGTAGATTAGTCTTAAAGGCTCAAATTTGCTATTCACAGCTGGTCATCCACTTTTGCACTGTTAACAAATGTAAATGACTCTCCTTTCACACATTCTTAATTGATACTGTTTATAATTTACACGTACTAATGAGTGCCTGTTGACCCCCATATCTAAACAGTGACTCATTAAACACACAAATTACTCTTTCCTAACTGCTATGTTAACAAACCTCCAAGAGCTAAAAATAACAGATTTTTGCATCAGTGCTGAAATTCAGTTAGTGGTACTGGGTAATTGGGTGGTGAATGGGGTGTTTTGTGAGACAGATCATGGAACACTCTTTTTTTTTTTGTAAATTCAAATCAGAAATGTTTTCTTGTCATGCCAATCTTTATAAGCATTACCAAATTGTAAACAGATACACAGCCTGGATATCTGTCGGATAGATACTGTTTGCAATATTGTAGCCCTGTTGGTCCCAGATATGAGAGAGACAACGTGGGTGAGGTATTATCTTTCAAAAGTTTGTCTCTTCCACCAACAGAAGTTGGTCCAATAAAAGTTATTACCTCTCCCACCTTGTGTCTCTCAAAGGTGTTTTCTCTCTTTCTGTTCCACAAGTTTTGGGTGTGTGTATATATCTGTATGTACAGATGTGTGTATATATTTATATTTATACTATAAGTACTGTGTATGCTTTTTGTGAAATACAAGGATTTTATCTTTTCCCAGGTTGATCTCTGAATCCATTGTATTTTTGCAGCATGTTTGTAGTAAATGTGAATTCTTTTGGGAACTGTCCTGAATGGGTATAAGCTGGCATTTTATCTGTGTCTCATTTCTTTGGAGCACTGGGTTTGGGGACTTTGTTCCACTACTGTTGCTAACTCATTGGTGAGTATGTTAAAAAAGTTAGGGCTCAGGTTAAGTGACATGTCTCTATGAGTGGAACTGGGACTCTTGAGTCCTGAATTACCATTCCTCAAGTCTGGTTGTTAGCCTTCCAAGACTAAGGAAAAATTGGCTTAATTTCAAGGTATAATTATAGGTATAATGTCTCATCGAATCTCTGTTGTTATATCAACATCTCTTTATACCATATAAAAATGTGGATTTCAAGGATTTTGTTATGTGAGATGAGTGTGTTCAGATGGTGATTCATTTATTAAAGATACAGTTTTGCTTTTAAGTGTTTTGCCTGATGTATTTCTTAAGAGTAGTGTTGGTGTGTTGTACCAATTTAATCAGAACATAGCAACTGCAGTTTTCTGGAGATGTAAAATTTGCAGTAGCTCAGCGATTTAACACTACTATTAATTTTGTTCCAATTCACATTTGATATGTTGAAAAATAAGTATTTAAAGATGCCTTGAAAGCCAGCCACAGGTTATTCCCAATTGGAAGAATTTGCTTGAAATCAAAGATGCAAAGTCTACGTGACTAATTAGAGATGAAATACTCAGATTTGGGGAGAGGAAGCTGTCTAACATTCGTTTGTAGTTTTTGAACTTGAATTCTAGAAACTCTTCATACTTAATTTTACTGACTTTAGTGTAATAAAGAGGTATTGAAGTTCTATTTGTATCTTTCAGACAAATGTAAAGTTTTGCAATTGTTTGTTTTTATGCTCTTTTATGATAACTCTTACAGTGTATGGCTATAAAAGGATGAAATGGATCACATTCAAATTATTATTTGCATTTTGAAATTATATATTCTATTAAGAATTCCTAGATCTAATATATGAGACTTACATATTTCTAAAAAATTCATGGGGGAAGAGAGAATATTTAATCTGCAGTGCAATCTTGAGCAACATGAGTTAGTTAACAGAAAATGGAAAAAATCTATAACTTGGAAAAATCCATTAGATCTGTGAGAGGTTAAAAAATTAAGGAAAGTGATTAACATTTAAAATGTGCATGGACTGGCCTGTAAATCAGGGATGTCCAAAATATGGCAGTGGCTTGAATCCAGACCTTGATGTTTTTAAATCCAGTTTGTTGTCTGCTGAATATGTCAGTTTGTAGCATAAATTACAAATAATAATTTCTAGTTCTTATATAGCACTTTTAATTTCTTAGCTCTCAAAGCATGTAAAAAAGAGGGTCAGAATCATTCTTTTACATGCCCTTTAATTTTTTGGCCTCCTTTATCTTCCCCTGCAGCAGTGGATTATCACCACTATCACCACCACCATTAGAAAAAGCATTTCTTCTGATTGAATATGAGAGCTGTTTCCAGGACAGTTATCACCAGGGTTCAGCAGTAATATTGCCAAATATATTCTGGAAACTTGGGCAGTGATTTTCAAAGGAGCAGAGGGAATTAAGTGCCCATCTCCAGTTGACTTTCATTGGGAATTGGGTGTCTGTGTTAGGTTTCCTTGAGAATACCAGCCTTGACTATTAATTTTAAAAGTGAAAAGAAGCTGAGAGTGAGCCCCTGAAAGGATTCGGGATGTGTAGATTGGAAAGTGACTTACTCTGAGCAACCAATCATTTTTAGTTCATTACTTAAATGTGTTTTGCACCCATGTTATTTCTTCTGCTCTGTCAAACAACATTGGGTTTTATTAGCAGTTTGACACAGTATAGATCAAGTAAATCAATCCAAATTAGTTTCCAGCAGACTCTAACTCATATTAAAAACCCATCAGAGTAGCACTGTATCTAAAATATTCCATAGAATCTGTCAGTGTAAAAATGTTGAATGATAAGACCACACAGTTGAATTTTGGGGTACAAAACCTAAGTGGTAAGAATGTAAATGTGTTAGTAGGGCATTCCGAATAAGAAAAAGATAGAGTGCACAGTATTGAGAGAGATTGAAGAGGCTGCAAAATTTTACAAAATGACCCATATACAAACCAGGCAAGTTACACAATATTACAAAATTTAGAGAAGCAATTTCTCAAGATTTTAATGGTTGATCTTGGAACAGCTTGTTCTTAGAGGACACAAAAGGGAGTGGCTGTTTTCTTGACTTAGTCTTAAAGTAACAGCATTTTGTAGCCATGTTGATTCCAGGATATGAGAGAGAAGGTAGGTGAGGTAATATCTTTCATTGGATCAACTTCTGTCATGATCTCCAGGTAGGTTTCCTGATTTTTTTTCTTCCAGGGTGTATGAGCAATTAAGGAAGACAGGACATTGCTAAGAAGCTAAATGGTTTATTTGCATCAGTCTTCACCATAGAGAATGTTAGAGGGATACATACTCCAGGCCTGATTGTTTTTGATAATAAAAACATGGTTCTATCAGAAATTGAGTTACCAGAAGAAGTGGTGGAACAAATTGATTATTTAAAAAGCAACAAGTCACTAGGCCCAGATGGTGTAAATCTAGGAGTGCTGAGGAGCGTGTATGAAGTGGCTGAACTGCTGGCAAAAATATGCAATCCCTCATTAAAAACAGCTACCATGGCTACAATACTCTAATGTTCTACTTATTTTAAAATGGCTTTGGGGGTGATCCTTGAAATAGAAATAGAATAATTAATATATGATGGAGTCTATCCAGCATGATTTCTGCAAAGAAAAATTGTATCTCACTAATCTATTAGAATTCTTTGAATGTGTCAATAATATTTGATACAGATAACCAGATTGACATAGTTTTAGATTTTCAAAAAGCTTTTGACAAGGTCCCTTGCAAGAGGCAACTAAAGAAACTACATAGTCATGTGGTCAGAGGCAAAATATTGTCACAGATCAGAAACTGGCTAAGAGACAGAAAACAATAGGAAAAAATGCCAATTCATCATGCCAAAAGGTTAACACCAGGATGCCACCAGATTCTGTATTGCGTCTGGAGTTTAATATATTTATTAATGATTGGAAAGAGGGTCAAGCAGTGAGGTGGAACAATTGGCAGATGACACTGATATTTAGATTAGTCAAGACTAGAGAAGTCTGAGGGACTTCAGAGAGTTAGGCAAGCTAGGTGAATGGGCAAAATAATGTCAGATGAAGTCCAGTGTTGATAAATACAAAGTAATGCTCATTGAAGGGGGAAATGTGTGTTGATTGTGCACCTCTTAGGGTTCTAAATTGACTATATCAACTCAAAAAAGGGACAGCTCCATAAAGGCCTCTGCTCAATGTGCAGTATGGTCAAAAGAGCAAACATTCCATGAAATTTAAAGGTGGCAAGTTCAAAACTGATCAAAGGAAATATATTACACAATGTATAATCAGACAGTGGCACTCATTGTCATCAGACATGGAAGCCAAGAATTTAGGAAAATTCAAAGAGATACTGGATGTTTATATGGATAAGAAATAATAATAGTTAATAATAACAAAAAAGGTATGTCAGGGTTTACGGTAATCTCTTACTATTCTGGATTAGGATGAGGCCTTTGTAGGGGAGCAGATTACCCCATATCTGTCCACTGCAGGGTTTCTTACACCTTCCTTTGAAGCATCCAGTGTTGGCCTCTACCAGAGACAGGGGACTGGATATGGACCCTGGGTCTGATCCAGTATGAAAGTTCCTATGTTTCTGATTTTTAAACTGTTAGCTGCTGGTGACACAGTGCTAGTAGTGTGTGTTTCTGTTCACCTGACACAATTTTCCTGGCCAGTGATTAGTTCCCACTATGGTGTTCCATGACCTACCAGTACATGTAGTGGCTTTGATTATCTTTATTTATTTATTTATTTATTTATTTATTTATTTGGTGGTGTTAAATGTTGGGAATGTTTTATTCATTGCAGCAATGCTACTGGGGAGGAGGCACCCCTCTGAAGCCAAAAAAAGAAAGAAAGAGGTCTTCCTTGTGATTGGCTGGTTACAGAACTCCCAACCAGTCACTTCAGATTGGAAGCAGGTTAATGTTCTGATATCTGATTCTGTTGAAAAGGATGTGAAAGGCATACTTTTGTCCTTGCTGTGTATCAGAAGAGGACAGATTAGTCACTTTAATTATACTGAAGCTGATTAAATTTCTTTAACTACTTAACCAAGTCAGTAGACAGATATTATTTCTGCAACATGTATAGAAATTTCCTGACTCCCAGTTGCCTTCTGATCACCACACATTACCTTTATGTGACAATGAGGAGCCACTAGACTTCATCACTTCCACCAATGGGATTTTTATGTGGAGACTGACAGGTTACTAGTTAATGTGATTAGATGCCCTGAACATCTGATACCACAAAATACTGGGATAACCCAGTCAATGCCTTTCCTAAGTGGTTGTGACGCACTGTTGGTGCAAGCTCAGAAATTCATATAGCATAAGTGCAGTGAGTGTTTGAGTAATTTTGATCCTGGATTTTGGTGTTGGGATTTTAAATCCATCTAATTAAAAGGATATAATTCTGAGATATGTTGAATATTAAACTGTGGCACAGCCATGAGTTGGTAAAGGAGAAAATAACTAGGGCAGGAGGAAAACAACGGAGAACGGAGGAAAGGCCTGAAACAATGGAAGGACAGTAGATGTTGGTGCCATTTAAATAGCAGAGAGGGTTTGTTAATGTTTGTAAGCCATGTTGAAGATGCTAAGCATGTGAAGATGTAAAGGTGCTAAATATGTCAATTAAAGTATTGTAACTTTAGTATCGGTTTAACAGTATCCAAAACTTTGTTTTTCAGTTCGACAGAAATAGATGATATGCTTAGAAAATCTACAAATTTGCTGCTAACAAGAACTTTAAGTAGTTGTTTACAAAACCTCATCAAAAAGCCACATATAGGTTTAACAGAGGTAAGTTATGAAATACATAGCCCAAAGATTTTTTTTTTATAAAGGACAATTACTGCTAAACATGTTTTCATAAATCCAGATATATTGTAGTACTAAGCTTTATATCAGGTTAACAAATGTAATAGTTTGTTTGGTTTTAAATCGCAAGAAACACTTTTATGTATAAATTCAAGAAATAGAAAAAGAGGAAGATGTATAGATGTATATTTCCATATGAAAATGACAACGCTATAGAGTGTTGGGTCTAATGAAATATATATTTATATGTGGATGCATATTGAAGGAAGGGTTGCATTGAAGGAGTCCTGTTCAATAAGACATAGGTGTGCAAGGAATAAGTTAAGGGCTCCTGCCTCATTGATTGCACATTATTCAGTGCAGAGCATTCTTCTGCTATGTACAAATAGAGAACATGGTGGAATTTCTTTCTTAATATTTTTTAAAAAATAGGAAATTTCTCACACACACACACACACACACACACACACACACACACAAAATTACAGCTGCAAAGTGAAGCGATCAGTTCAAGAAACAACAAAGTTAAGGTTCCCTACACCACCTGTCCTCCTTTTGTGTGTGCATTGCAATAAAATATTTTATTACATGATCACATACTGTTTTTTCCACAGGACCCCAACTTCATTCAGGGTGTGTATTGGACTGAAAACGAGACAGGTTTGAAAAGTGAATTAATGCTTGTGTACGTGGCAAGTTAGTGTGCAGCAAGCCAGGGGGTGAATATACAGTTCTTTGGCTAGCTATGCGCTAATATCCCATGTGGGGTGTACACTAGGATTTTCATTCTGCTGTGGCTGTGATCACATGGGATGTTAGTGCACAGAAAGCTGGTGTGCTGTAGATCATGTCCTGACTTGCAGAGCACTAACTCACTGTGTAGATGAGCTCTTAGCCTGGTGTCTCATTCCCTGTAGTTATATGCTGTGCTATGGTGGCAGCACGGGTCTACTGAAAGCTGATGAATGATATTGCAGTTAAAGGAACTGGGCTGAGGCTATGAAATCTGGGTTCTATGGGTGCTATAGTATCTTGGGAAGGCACATGATCTCTTTGTGCCTCAGTTGTACATCTGTAAAATAGGGTACTTCCTGAACTCTCAGGGATGATGTGAAGATAAAATCTTTATTATATTTGAGGTGCTCAGTTACTAAAATGAAGAAGGGCCATAGAAAAGACTATAAAGAGAAAGAAGAATCCTTTACATTGGTCAGGGTTTGGTTGCCATCCAGTAAATGAGGCATGGAGCCACACACTGTACAATGATGGTTTAAGAAATGTTGAAATGCTGTTTCATCCACTAAGCCCTGTCTGTTTTGTGTACTGAACAAGGACATGGGTCCAGCAGAAAAAGAGAGTAGCATATAATACTGGGTCATAGTTTATGCACAAGGGTGCAATCTTAACTTTGAAATTTCCTAACCTGACTTTCACTTTGTGACCTTAACATTTAATGTAATGCAGAGATTTTTCTGGTATGGAATTATTAATTTGACTATGGTGATCTTTTTTTAATCGTAACAGTCTTACAATGTAAAATGGAATTTCTTTTTAATGAATTGATGGTTATAATTTTTGTTTTTAAACTGTAGTATGACTTGTGAGCAGTATTTGCATTCTGACTTTAAAATTGGCAGTTATTCAGTTGTATCCTGTAATACTATAATTATCTACTAGCAATGCAGTGGCTGAAAGCAATAACTCTTAAAAAAATCAGGTGATATTTGTTGATACAAGGGCATTTTACCGGAATTTTGGTCTTTTGTAGCTGGTGCAAATCATCATAAACACAACACACCTGGAACAAGCCTGTAAATACCTTGAGGACTTCATAACTAACATTACAAATATTTCCCAAGAGACTGTTCACACTGCAAGGCTGTATGGTCTTTCCACTTTTAAGGTATGTAATATGTCCACCATTTAAATTATGAAGTCTAAAAATCTTTGCATTAAAATCACCATACATTAACTGTAAAAAAGAAAAATAAATGAGGGCCCAGGGGATTCTTACATGTTTTTACATTAACAGTTTCCTAAATGTTGAGAATTAAAGATAAATTATCAGTATTAACAATGAACAGGTAAATGTAGTTTTTCTTTTATGGCATTTTAAACATTAATAGGACATGAAAATGTGTTTGTATGTACATCGAAACAGCAATCTCTTGCAGATAGTTCATGCCTTAGTCTTGAGGTAACTTGCGATTTTATTATTTACTGTATCATAAACTTTAATAGATTGTACTTCATATACTGCAAAATGTTTAGTTTCAGAACAATATCAAACAAACAACAATGTTTACCTTTTTCTGCTGTACTTCGTGGTATATTTTCAAGCGTTCTTACTTAGTAATGTCAAAGAAACAGAATTTAAAAAGTGAAACTGTTGTAGTATAATTACATTTCAACCTGAGAATGAAAACGTGATTCTGATATTGCACTGCTAGAAAACACATTGTTTTGAAGGCTCTTAGGTAACAGCAAGACAGAATTCAGAACTTCACTTTATGAAGTTTAGAAATGGTTTGTAAAGCAATAATAGTTATATATTTGTCTTTTGAGAATCAGGTTTTACTGAATTTTCATTTAAAATAAGAAATAGTATTCATTCACAATAATATATGCAAAAAATGTAATTATATCTGGCTCTATACCACGCTATTTTATTTATACCGATGTCTGTTGTCTAGTGTTAAAAGGTTTGAGTCAATATAATTCAATGATTAATACTATTCTAAGTGGGGGGCAAAAGGTGGAAAAACTGTGTTGGGGGGAGTTATGGGCGGGAAAGAATTGTTGATTCCTAAATTCTAATATTAGCTGATCATATGCATCTATCTGGCCTAATGGTTAATAAGATTGTAATCCTAGAAATTGTTTATTCATAGTGTAAATTGAGGAATGGCTTCCATATAGATGTCAATCTTGTAGCACACAAAAAGAGCTACATATAGAAGGTTAATGAACCACAAATCTAGTCACAGCACAGATTTTCATTGCAGTTCATCAAGCTAAGGGTTTGTCTACACAGCAGCTGTGAGGGTGCTTCCCAGAATGGATAGGCCGACATGCTAGCGTTAGTTGAGCTAGCACACGAAAAATAGCAATGTGGCTGCGGAGGGACGGGCGGTGGCAGAAGCTAGCCACCTAGAGGATTGGGCAGGATTGTACTTAAACAGCTAGCCTGAGCTGCTGCCCATGCTGCCATAGTCACACTGCTATTTTTAGCATGCTACCTGGAGCAGAGCTAGTGTGTGTCTGTCTAACCATACTGGGAAGCACACTCCCAGCTGTGTGAAGTGAGGTTTTAACTCACGAAAGCTTATGCCCAAATAAATCTGTTAGTCTTTAAGGTGCCACCAGACTCCTTGTTGTTTTTGTAGATACAGACTAACACGGCTACCCCCTGATACTTGACTCCCAGCTGCTGTGTAGTTATACCCTTAGCCTGTTGTGTGGCATCATGGTTCTGAGCTGTTGCTTCTTCCATTGATTTTTGGCAAGATAATTGTTCAGGAAGGGTTTAATGTAAGGGAATATTATGTTCTTCTGAGTGCTGGTTTCTAGTATGAGGTAAATACAGTATTCTAATCTAGACTATAGTTGTTATGGAGCAATCCTGAATCATATGTAAAATTGTTGTTTTGTTGTTATTTGTATTATGTTAGTGCCTAGAGGCCACCAGTCAAGGATCATGGGCCCATTATCTGAGGCTCAGTACAGTAAAAAAAAAAGTCCCCTTCCAAAAGAATCTAGCCATATCCAAGCGACTCTGACAACTTTTATTCTCTATTAGAATACTCATTTTATATGTGGGAGCCCAGTAAATTCTGTAAATCTATCCATTATAGCTTCATGTGTCCATATCTCTTTATTTTTTGTACTTTTACACTCATAAATACGTTTTTGCCACAGTTTAATCTCTAAAATGTTCAACTAGACAAGAATTGCCAAGCCAGATTAGACCAGAGTTCTGTCTAGTCAGATATCTTGCCTCTGGCTGTGGCTACTACCTGACAAATACTTTCTGGAATGTAGGCGGTGGTCAATTTATTGCATGTTACTACAAAGTACATATATCAGCACATGAAAAACACCTTTCCACCTGCTTTAAAATACTACTTCACTTCCACTTGCATAACCTTAATTTAAAATTGCTACCTATACAAGGGATGCAATGGGTAAACCAAAATTTCAGGAATGTGGAAAGAGAACAGTCAGATCAGAATCTACAGAATGTCACCGTTATTATCTTATCGTCTGCTAATGAAATATGCTGTGATTTTGACATCACAACTGTTGTGTACCGCATTACAATTTTGTATGTTCCAAGATAGACATCTGTGACTCCAAATGGAAACCATTCCTAAATTTACACTGAATATGTGATTTCTGGGATCTATTTATTTATCTATTGCATACAAAAAAACGATGTTAAATTATTCAGAAAAAATATGCATGTGATCATGTAATTAAATCATGTATCCTAATGCATGCACACAAGGGACTTGAATTAAGGTTGCATTATGGCATTTCATAACTTTTGACTGCTTGACCTTGCAACCTTAATAATGTTCTTTTAATGTAATCTTGTGTGTGTAATTTCCTAGATTTCTCAAAAAGCAAACTGAGAAAATAGAAATTCCATCATGTGAAACATATTGACACCCATGTTTCATTTTAGAACCTTTAGATCCTCTGCACAGATCACTGCTACCTGAGTTTATGGAGCAACTGGTGGAAGTAGACTGTTATTCTCAGCCCCTAGAGGGTTTCACAGTTATTTGTAGATGCTCAAGAAATAATGTTGAGACTCAGAAATCCTGGGTTCAATTCCAGATTGTTAAGAGGAATGTTCCCTAGTGGTTATAAGTCCTTCTGCCTCAGTCTATCCCCATCCTGTCTCTGTTCCCCTCTGCTTCTATCAATTCCACACACCAACTCCTATGTCTGTCTCCCTCTGCTCCTGTCCTCTTCTGACTCTCTGCTTCTATCCCCACCTTGTCTTTGCTCCTCACTACTCTGCATTCAAGTCAGGCTGCTTCCTCCTCCTCTTCACTGCCTCGGTGCAAGCAATGGATACATTGAAAGCACAGGAGATGCTATTTCTGCTCTCATTTCTGGTGCTCTGTGCCACAGTAGCTCTCAGCTGCCAGGAGGAACAATTGCAGGGAAAATCCTGCTCAGCCCCTATAGCCTTGGGATGGAGCATACATGTGCAGTCTGTTTGGCACATAGCAGCTGTGCAGGGATAAAGCTTGCTCAGTGCAGATGGACTCTTCAGAGAATTTAGCTGCCAAACTCTCAAGAAGCCTCTATTGATCATGTGTAACCTGAAACATTTTCAGAGGTTATAACTTGACCACAGGCTTGGCCTTACCATGAGGCGAACTGAGGTGGCTGCCTCAGGTGCCAGACAGTGGGGGGGCGGGGGGGGTGGCACTAGGACCCAGAGTGTAGAAAATTGTCTGCTGCTGGTGCATATGTATTCTCTCTGCTCTAGGTGCACAGAGATGGTGGAGGAAGGAGGGCACAAGAGACATAACAGGCACAAGAGACAATGCAGGAGAAAAGGTGAGAGGGAATAACAGAAAGCAGCAGGAGCTGCAGGGAGAGAGAGAGGAGGAAGAGCCTCTTATGTACCTCTCTAGCACCCCAGGAGCCTGAACTGATTAACACCAGCTTCTCAGGGAACTTCCTGTTTCCTGCTGCTTCCCTGAACCCACTTGAGGAGAACAGGCAGTCAACTGAAGTAGTAGGAGCCAGTTAGGCCCTTAAGACACTGATATCTTCCCTCACTCAGGCCCTGCTACCAGCCTGCTTATTTGTCCCCTTCAATTGAGTGTTGAGAGCCACTATAGCTGGCACAGAACAGCAGTCATGAGGGGCAGCATTCAGAAAAAGAAAGAAAGCAAAGGAAGCTTTTCTATCTAAGCAGGAAGGAGCTTTCCTGAGATACATAGGCACAAATGTTCACGGTGAGCCTTCCGGCCCCAGTGAGGATGTGAGTGGTGAAGAGATGTCTGATCTTCCAGTTAGTCAGAGTGCAGGTGACCTGGCAGCTACTGAAGCATCCATATCTCCATCTCAAATGGATGTAACCATGCACATGCCTGAAGAAAAGTGTAGATCAGAGAAGAGTGTAGTGGAGGCACAAGAAACAGCTGCTGCTGAGTTTAGTTCCTTAACTCTAGATGATCCAGGACTGTGGACCCACTTGAGCTGTAGCCTGAGGGACTTCCTTGTACTGCATGGGCCACAGCAAGTGAAAAACTTCATGTTCCCCAAAGACAATGAAAATAGAAGTTTCCATCCAACACATTACTGGCGTGAAATCCCCAATGGTGACAAAGTGGAGAGGCCATGGTTTATGTACTCAAAAGCCCAGAATGCTGCATAGTGTTTTTGTTGCAGTCTAATAATGTTCCAGCCACACTGGGTTCTACAGGAACAAAGGACTGGAAAAGTCTGGCATGCCGTGAGAAGGCAGCAAATCACCGGAGAGCATTCCATAGGTGGAAAGAGCTTGAGATGAGACTAAGGTTAAAGGCCACCATAGATGATCAGCATCAAGAGAAGATTGCATCAGAGTCTCTTTACTGGCAAAATGTTCTGAAAAGACTCATTGCCATTCTGAGAATGCTTGCTACCCAAAACCTAGCACTGCGTGGCACTTCAGATCAGCTGTATGTGCCAAACGATGGAAACGTCCTTAAAATTGTGGAGCTGATGGCTGAGTTTGATGCTGTACTCCAGGAGCATCTAAGAAGAGTCATCACCCAAGAAATGTATACACACCACTACCTTGGAAAAACAATTCAAAATGAGATCATACAGTTACTGGCAACGAAAGTCAAACAGAAGATTGTGGCAGATCTGAAGTCAGCAAGATATTACTCT